TTTGATCAATACAGCACCTTAGTGGTCTTCATTTGAACATGTTTCAGTCAACTACTGAGATATATATAGTATGTAGCCTTATGACATTCACAATTACAGCTGATGCTTTGAAACCACATGAGGGAGTAAGAGCTCCATTTCATTCAATAGAGTGTCATTGCCTTGGGTGTTTCTTGTCTCCCGAGTTGTTTAAGAATGTAACAACTACAAAATTGTGCTCAAAATTAACATAGAAAGATGCATGGGACATCGATATAATATGGGTATCATATCAATTGTGGAGTATGACAAATATAATTGGAATGGCAGGATTTTTAATTTTTTTTAACTTTGTGACCAGTTAGACTCTAATGGTCTTTTTGTTCCAAGATAAAGGTATTGGTGTGTGTTTGTGTGTGTGTGTGGGTGGGGGTGAAGAAGAGAAAAGGCAGGCAGATGGTGTAGATGATCTAGGAAAATGGTGGAGCAGGCTCATTCGACTGGATGACCTGCTCCTGTTCTTATATTCCTACTGCTATCTTTTCTTCTAAAATCCTATGGTGCATTTTTCTTTCCAAGTTAATGCTTATTCTGTCTGTGGAAAAAAAATTGTGAATACAATGAGTAGAAGAACAGACAAGGGAATAAAATTGTGCATTTTTTATGGCAGCAATCACTCAGACAAATGTTTGGTCCCATAGGTTTATTATTCAGGCACCTGAATTCCTCTCTGTTTATTTTCAGATATAGTTGCTTATATCATCTTACAACTATTTACCTTGATTAGCATTTATAGACTTAATCAATATCAATTCAAATAAAACCTTGCAGAGTGATCTTCCTGGAGCTGAGGTAGAGTGGAACTACTACCTGAGATTGTATTTCATGCTATAGTTATGAAACCCTGTATTTAATTGCATAATTCATCCTATGTTAATGTCAAAGGAGCAATCTAATTAAAATATAGCTGGAAACCTGTGGAGAATAACTACCAATAAAACAGGTTCACTTACAGCAGTGTGTAAACCCTTTGAGTACAGTAATGACATTTCAAAGTCTCATTTCAACCTATTATAATTAAGACGGATATTAAACTGGATTACGTTCTTTGGTTTGTGGCATTGTGGTATTTGGTTTGGGTCAAAAGTCGTTTTTAAACATCTAACAAAATGTAATATCAGTTAAAAAATATATAAAAAGATGAAAACCTCTCCAGTGGTTTACAAGATCACCACCGACTATTTGCATTTATATAGCACCTTTCACATCCAGATAATAACTCAAAGCTCTTCACATTAGCTGACTGGGTTCCCAAGCTGGGAGGGAAAGCTGGAGGTGAAGAAGGGAAGTGGAAAGACTCAGTCCTTTTTCTGTCAGATCATCAGGACTAACAGTTAAGTTGTTCTGCAAACCTGCATATAATACGAAGGTTCGCCACTGTCTGTCAGTACATCAGTTGCTTAACAATACTCTGAGAGTTCATTACATTTGCTCCTATAATTGTTTTTTAAAAAAGCAGATGACACTTAAAATGTTAAATTAATATATTTTTATTCCTTCTCAGACAATTTCCTGAAATATCTTTTTCATTATTTCTGCTGTTTCTTTCAGAGTTTCAGGATTCAGTGAAATAGTTGGGGCGAAAATTACGATGAAAACATTTAAAATGCAGCCTTTTGATTACAATGCACCAGAAGTCAACTCACAGTGCAAAACTAGAGGTAACAAAGTTAAGCACGTATACCCATTGGAAAGCAAACATACAAATATAATAAAGATATCAATTCTACAGTGGCACAGAATAAATGAGACCTGAGATTATTTCAGGAAAGAAAAAGCAATTTCAGTAAGACTAACACTTAGATGATTCACTTTATTTAATGTAACGTAATGGAGGCTCTCCTGAGCCTCATAGGATACACATTCCACCTCACCAAGCCAGTCAGGAACCTTGGCGTCTTGTTCGACCCTAAACTGTCCTTTCTCCCACACATCCGTGCCATGACCCGCTCTGCATTCCCCAACCTCCACAACACTTGTGGAGTCCTGTAGCTCAGTGGTTAGAGCACTCGCTTTCCAAGCGAGAGACCTGAGTTCAATTCCAGGCAGAGGGCGAAACCTTGGGCAAGTTTCCTTACTCCACATGCCTAATAATAATCCCTCCAAAACCAAAAACAACAATAAATTGGTCATTTTCAATCTACGACTGTTTGTGAGACATTGCTGTGCGCAATTGGCTGCCGGGTTCACCCACAAATATACAGTCAATTCACTTTACAGTGTGTTCTGTGAAGCGCTTTGGGACGTCCTCCCGACGTGAAAGGCGCTATATCAAATGCAAGGATTATTATTATTATTATTATAACATTCCCGACTCCTCCACTGCCTCAGCCCTCAGGCCGCCAAAACCTTCATACATGCCTTCATTACAACCAGGCTCAACTATGCCAACCCCCTGCTTGTCCGCCTTCCCAACTCTTCCCTTCACAAGCTGCAGATAATCCAGAACTCTGCAGCTTGTGTCCTATCCTGCACCACGCTCTGTGACCCCATCACACCCACCCTCGACCGGCTCCACTGACTCCCCATCCCTAGGAAGATTGAGTTCAAAATTCAATTGTTATATCAGGATTCTCCTCTATGAACACATTTAAAAACAGTACTAAATAACTTCTAAAAATTAAAATAAGTAACAGAGGTTTCTATCCTGGGAATTCTTCAAATGTTATTTTCTTGATATCACAATTGCCACAATGTAAAGAAAATGTTTAGTTTTTATATTATAGACTGAAAATGCAAACATTTGTCACTGAATGTAATTCTCTAGATACAAAATTTACAGTAGGGCATGTTTCTTCATCAGATGGTTATCTTATCTAATTTGTTCAAACAAATTATAAACTGTAGTCAAATACTGAGAATGTGAGTATCTCCATCTATGAGGGAAATATTTCCATCCAGGCCAAGTACTAAGGATGTTTATCAGACATACACATTTCTCGTCTTTCATCTTGATGTGATATTGTAAATCATTATAGTTTTATTTACCACAGGATACTTTATCATAAATATTATTTATTATGTTTTGCCTTACAGTATATATTATATATTTTTTGATCAGCTGGGTGTCTGATACATGCAGAAACCCATCACCATGCTTAAGAGCGTCCAAATCAAGCTGAGAGTTCCATGCATTCCACCACGCATTCATGGAAATCCCAGAGATAGATTGTTGGAATGGAATGTGCACTCTCTCCTTGGAGGGATGCATCCTGCTTACCTAATTCCGGAAAGTATTGGGCACAAGTTCACAGGAGCCACAGCTTGGGTACCTGTGAGTGTGCATTGGGGTGACACGCAGAGCTTGCCATTGATATCGCTGTCTGACAAGCTTTCCTGCTGCTTGTCCAGCTCGGGACCACCCTACTACCCCTTTAGGGCTTTGGTTTGCAGAGTTAACAGGAGCTGAGTCGATGACCCCTCGCCCCCAGTGTCTGCCCTTCCAAGTCCTGCCAATGAGCCTGGCTGGCTGTGCTGCGATCAGCAGTGCTTTGGAATACTACGGACTTGTCTGGCTCAGGAACTGGACTACCGAGACCACCACAGAGGGCTGGCGTGATTCCATTATTCCATTGGCAGGCATGTCATCTTGGAGTCAGTTCAGCTCGAAGGAAACCTTTGTTACTTCTCTCCAAAAAGGATATTCACTGGTTGGCCATTTGACATTTGAGAAGAGTTATTTTTTATATAGAGTATTTGCTATGGGATCTTTTGTCAAAATATTAAGAATGTCTTTAGCGATTATTTTACTATTACTTCTCGGGTTAGTGATTATCTTTCAAGTTAGTTTCATAATCTCCATTATCAGCTGAATTCTTGGTCTAAATTAATGTAATAGGTTATCTATTAAGTGTAATTGGCATATGCAAAGCAATGTGCAAAGATCAAAATACCTTCTTTTGATTTGCAGTTGATTCCTTCTTCATTCGCAGTTAGCTTATTTCATGACTATGCTGACCTTCTGGTGCTGTACCAATAGCAAAATTTCAGCAGCTTATGAGTATGGCTCAGTTGGCAACACTCTCTCCCTTGAGTCAGAAGTTTATGGATTCAAAGCCCCATGTTGGGATTCTGAGCTGATTGTCTGGGCTGATATTTCAGCCCAATTCTGGAGGAGTGCTGCATTGTCAGAGGTGAAATATTAAAATGAGGCCCCACCTTCCTGTTCAGGTTAACCACAAAGATATCATGATACTATTTGGAAAGAGGGGATTTTTCCTGGTATCCTGGCTAACAATCCACCATATACCAGATAAAATTGGCCATTCACTTCAAGGCAGTTTGTAGAACATAACTTTGTGCAAATTGGTTGCTGGGATAAGCTACAAATAGTCACTCCCTATACAGTAAATCCTATGTAGCATTTTGAGATATTTCAATGATATATCAAATGCAAAGATTATTATCAACATTATTATCAGTATTGTTCTATACAATTTCCTGCAGACAAACACGTCATTTATAAATTACAAGCAAACTTGGTAGATATTACATCTATCAAGTATAATGGCTATTTTTAACAATAATCACTGGGGCGACAATAAAAGGGATAAAGTCTATACATATTTACATTACATTTAGCCATCAGGATAATGGTATAATGACGATACTTGATTACTAATAAGCAAAAGTGACGTACAGTATAACATTTCATCCAAGTACAGGATCATTTTGAGGTAAATAAAGAATTGTACTAGTATTCTATAACCTTAGATTCCAAACCTGTTAGTGCAATTAATGTTCGTTCGTATTGAAATCAATAAAACTTGAAGCCGCTAATGATAATGAACGTAATTTATCAATTCATTAGTTTTATTTAATGTAGCCAGTCATTGACTCATAAGCAAAGGTTATTTTGAGATGTTGGCGGTGTAATTTACAGGTGTGTCTTACCTGAGCTAACAATAAATGACTAGGAAATTGATAAGGGTAACATTCGACTGGATCACGAGGATCGGGTTGTCACGGCAAATCTATGCAGCTTCACTAAACTTTTATAATGCAGGTGGTGAGCAGCTTTTTCCAGTGTCTGTAAATCTCATTCAGTGGAATGTAATCAATTCAGGCAGTGGAAAGGCACTGAGATTCACTGCAGTGAATCCCTTTGAGAAATTCAACATGTTCTTTCACAGATGGCTAAGACAATCTGAGTAATGTACAGGACTGTAAGAGCAGTTTGTTGATATTTTAACTTTTATCCTTAATCAGAACAGCTTTAACTGCTGCTGACAGGTGAGTGAGTTGTTCAAAAGTATTTTTGCTAATACTTGACATAGTTTTTTGTGAGTAAATGTAAGTATTCCTTGTTGTAATTAAGACAAGGAACACCATTGATATTGCTCCTATTTTAAGTATTATGTTTTATGGAAGGGAGTCCATACAAAGTCCAATGATAATGTCTTACTGTCTTTTAAAATCAGATCCCACCTACCTTTGCAAAATGGTGTCCTGTACACCGTTGAGAATGTATAAGCAGCATTGGAAATCTCAGTGGCTCCTGAACCTTGGTGTATTTATCTTACTCCAAATTCTTCAAGCAGGTAAAACTTTTCTGATTCTTTGACCTTTGCATAAATGACATGTTACAGTGTATTTTTAGGCAATAAAGCAGTTTAGAAAATGAACATTCTGATTAGCATGAAAAGCAAAGGTGACAGAGCCACAATACTGTCATAAAACTGCACGAGAGGACAACCTTTAAAACTTTATTTCTCGTCCTGGTTTCCTTCTTTTCCTGCTACCAATTCTCTCCTCTTTCTGATTCCACTTTGTTCATGGCCAGGACAAGTGAACAGTCTAGTTCGCAGTCCACAAATGTTGCCATTCCTTACAACAACAACAACAACAAGATTCCATTTATAGAGCGCCTTTCACGTCGGGAGGACGTCCCAAGGCGCTGGACAGTTGGGTCAGGACCCGAGCAGGGGGGATATGGTCAGGGTGAGGGGAGGGAAGGGAGGGAGCGAGGAGGGGGTAGAGAGTCGAGAGGGGAGCTGAAGGCACGGTCAAAGAGAAAGGTCTTGAGACCGGCCTTGAAGGAGGAAAGGGAGGAGGCAAGGCGAAGGCACTGGGGGATAGAGTTCCAGAGCCTAGGGGCTGAGAGGCTGAAGGCTAATTAATTAATCCTTAGTTAAATTACTTGATAAATATTGCCTCCCCCAATCAGCTACTTATCATAGAATCATAGAATCGTACAGCACAAAAAGAGGCCATTTGGCCCATCGAGTTTGTGCCGGCTCTTTGAATAGAGCAATGTAATGTCAATCCCACTCCCCAGCCCTTTCCCCATTAACCCTGCAGACCCGTCCTCCTCAAATACCCGTCCACCGCGTTTTTAGAAGTAGTTATCGAATCGGCCTCAACCACCCTTTCAGGCAATGCATTCCAGATTCGAACAACTCGTCGCGTGGAAAAATGTCTTCTCACCTCCCCTCTGCTTCTTTTAGAGACTATTTTGAATTTGTGACCTCGAGTCACCGACACACTCACCAGTGGAAACAGTTTTTCCCTTTCTAACCTATCAAATCCCCTCATGATTTTGAAAACCTCTATTAGGTCTCCTCGTAACCCTCTCTGCTCCAATGACAATAATCCCAGCCTCTCTAGCCTTTCCTCATAATCAAGGTCCCTCATTCCTGGTACCATCCTCATAAATCTCCTCTGCACCCTTTCCAACGCCTTAACATCCTTCCTATAATGTGGTGCCCAGACTTGGGTGCAGTATTCTAACTGAGGCCTAACCAGTGTTTTGTATAGGTTAATCATAACCTCCTGACTCTTGTACTCTATGCCCCTATTTATAAAGCCTAGTATCCCATTTGCCCTTTTTACAGTTTTATCTACCTGTCCTGCCACCTTCAAGGATTCATTTACCTGCACCCTCAGGTCTCTCTGTTCTTTTACCGCCCCTTAAGATTGTATTACCAGCCTATATTGCCTCCCATCATTCTTTTTACCAAAATGCATTACTTCGCATTTCTCCACATTGAAATTCATCTGCCATGTGTCTGCCCATTTTACCATTCTGTCTATGTCTTCCTGCAGTTGGCTACTATCCTTCTCACTGTTTACCACCCTACCTAACTTTGTCTCATCCGCAAACTTGGAAATGGTACTTGCTATACCCAAGTCCAGATCATTTATGTATATTAAGAAGAGCAGTGGTCCTAATACCGATCCCTGGGGGACGCCACTGTACATTTCCCTCCAGTCAGAAAAGCAGCCGTTCACCACAACTCTCTGTTTTCTGTCTCCCAGCCAGTTCTAGATCCATGCTGCCACTGTCCCTTTTATACCATGGGCTTCTATCTTTCTTACAAGTCTTTCATGTGGCACTTTGTCAAATGCCTTTTGAAAGTCCATATAAACTACTTCAACTACACTTCCCCTCACTCCTGTGGATGAGAACGATAAAACTCTTCGAGCTCACATGCCAATGTTAGTTCTGATTTAGGATCAGGGTCCTTATGAGAACCCTGATGATATTTTAGTCTTACATCTTATTGTGTCTGTAGATCTTCAATATCATATTTAAAGAAATTATTACATTATCGATATATTTTAGGTAATGCAAATAATCATTTTGATTCCCTTTCATTGCAGACACTACATCTATGAAAGGACAAAAAGCTAAATTTGATGTACCTTCAAAGTATGGAACACTCCACGATGGTATCAATATACCTATGTTAGATGAGCTTACTGTATGTGTTAATATTCATAAGACAACGCAAATCAGAAAGTGGATAGCATTTACATACTACATCTCACAGTCAGAAGATAAACAAGAACTAGGAATCGGAGGAGAAGATGACAAGCTTATTATATGGCTTTCTGGAATAAAATATTGGACTGGCATCACAGTGCAACCAAATGAGTGGCACATAGTGTGTTTAACGTGGAGCAAATCTTCTAGCCAGGTATTTGTGTACCTAAATGGCACGTCGATATTCAATTTAAAAATATCACTTGGCAAAGTTAAACCCAATGGAAATTTAGTGCTGGGGCAGTACCAGCAGCAACAGCAAGGTTCAGATATTGAATTTGATAAAACCTGGGCCTTTTTAGGAGATTTATATTATTTTAGACTGTGGAATTTTGTGGTAAAATCATCTGAACTCTCCATGTCGAAATGTACTGATGGAAATGTTGTCAACTGGCAGACAGATCATTGGACTTTCACAAGCAAAACTCTGGTAGATGATTCCACCCTGCCATGTGGTAAGTCAGGTCTGAAACTTACCTTGGATGAAGAGCATTGCTGTAGTCAGTCTTATGATGTGAAAGGCACTATACAAATGTAATTTGTTGTTTGTTGGTGTTGTTCAACTGCTCCAAGTGCTCCAAGACCCCATCCCCCATGAAGGGCGCTACATAAATCCAAGTTGTTGTTATCATCTGGAACATTTTTCTGCATTGACATTATTTGCACTACACACCTTTCAAGATAATCTAGCTTTCATTTTTGGCACCTATTGTCATGTTAGAAGCATCATGTATAATAGTGTTTTTTTCCCTGTAGCTTCATCAGTTCCAGTGACCACTCAGACCCCTTTCAGTTCTGCGGGTAAGTATAAAGGTTTCAGTATTATAATAAAATCATGTACATAGTCATTGAAAAGTGTAAATCCCTAAAAGTATGTATCATAATACAAATCCTTTCATAATTGTTGCTGCTTAATTCTGTGTAACAATCCTTTTTTTTATTATAGGTTTTATAGATAGTCAGGAAGGCAATGAAAGGGGAAACCTCAACAAACTATATAAAATTGTAAATGTTATAATTGTAAGATAAACCCAGAATAGCAATTCAAAGTAAGCCAAAAGGATGTCAAGTCGAATATAACCTAGGAAAAACTTTACTCAAAGAGTTATAAATGTTTGGACTATCTACTAATGTAAGTAATTAAAGCAAATATATTGGTTTCAAAATTAAATTAAACGGTCTTTCCTCAACTCTGAATTTCCCATGTTCAAAAATGCCATCTTTATAATATGACCAGAGTACATGAATATGAAATAGAATACAAATTAAATTTTTAGCCTCCTTTAAAGTGAAACCAAGGGGAAAATATTTTACAGTTTAACGCATCAGTTTATATTAGAGAAAGGTAACAAAGTAAGAAAAGAGTAAGAAAATTGGCTTATGTTGCAAGTAGTCATATTTCATATATTACATATTGCTGCAAAGAAATGTGATTTATCGTTCTTCTAGAAAGTATTACACTTTCAGCAAGACAAGTACACACCTTTTGATTTAATCATACCTACAGGAACTTCAAATGGAATAACATCTGTTGTTTCACATTCCGTTTCAACATCACAAATGACTTCTCCTCCAAACCCACCAACTTCCAGTACAACTGAAAAAACGACAACTTCTTCAAGTCTCCTCACGTCTACAACCACTTCAAAATCAATTCCTCCCACTATGGTCACTGGGCCATCATTGACCAACTCTCCGGGGACGTCACCCGTATTAGGTATTTGGCATTGATCACGTGCATGGATTATTATTGTAGGTGTTTACATATTTAAGAAACGTTNAAAAAAACAGGTTAATTTCCATTGTTATTTTATAATTTTAAATGTCTTTATCTCCAAACAATTGTTAGCAGCAGAGGCAAGTAGCTATACTTGAATGTCAAAGGACTTTGCTCAAAAAAAAACTTTGCCCCTGGTTATCACTAGCATATCCAGGTCCCATGCAATAATGCATAACAATCAGAAATCTGATACAAACAGTTAATGTTTTTTTAATCATGCATAATACCAATGCCACCCATTATAACAAAACACTGCAATACAGTGAAGAGCACAGAAATGCAACAAAGTGATTAAATCTAGAATTTGATAACATAACTATTATTGGAAGAAATATTTACCTTAGTTGTTTCCTCCCAAAATTTAAGTACAAATAAATAACTCTGCTTATTTTATCTTATGAACTTACCATATACATGAACCAATTTAAAGGTAAATCATATCAAGTTTCATAATCGTGTCAATGTGAAAATTATTATCAGATGATAATTAGGGAACCGTTTATCTAATCACCATAAAATGCATTTAATTATCTTATTAACTTGGTTCTGAAACGCCACGTATTTTATATCACAATTGTGTTTATTAATCCTTAGTTAAATTACTTGATAAATATTGCCTCCCCCAATCAGCTACTTATCATAGAATCATAGAATCGTACAGCACAAAAAGAGGCCATTTGGCCCATCGAGTTTGTGCCGGCACTTTGAATAGAGCAATGTAATGTCAATCCCACTCCCCAGCCCTTTCCCCATTAACCCTGCAGACCCGTCCTCCTCAAATACCCGTCCACCGCGTTTTTAGAAGTAGTTATCGAATCGGCCTCAACCACCCTTTCAGGCAATGCATTCCAGATTCGAACAACTCGTCGCGTGGAAAAATGTCTTCTCACCTCCCCTCTGCTTCTTTTAGAGACTATTTTGAATTTGTGACCTCGAGTCACCGACACACTCACCAGTGGAAACAGTTTTTCCCTTTCTAACCTATCAAATCCCCTCATGATTTTGAAAACCTCTATTAGGTCTCCTCGTAACCCTCTCTGCTCCAATGACAATAATCCCAGCCTCTCTAGCCTTTCCTCATAATCAAGGTCCCTCATTCCTGGTACCATCCTCATAAATCTCCTCTGCACCCTTTCCAACGCCTTAACATCCTTCCTATAATGTGGTGCCCAGACTTGGGTGCAGTATTCTAACTGAGGCCTAACCAGTGTTTTGTATAGGTTAATCATAACCTCCTGACTCTTGTACTCTATGCCCCTATTTATAAAGCCTAGTATCCCATTTGCCCTTTTTACAGTTTTATCTACCTGTCCTGCCACCTTCAAGGATTCATTTACCTGCACCCTCAGGTCTCTCTGTTCTTTTACCCCCCTTAAGATTGTATTGCCAGCCTATATTGCCTCCCATCATTCTTTTTACCAAAATGCATTACTTCGCATTTCTCCACATTGAAATTCATCTGCCATGTGTCTGCCCATTTTACCATTCTGTCTATGTCTTCCTGCAGTTGGCTACTATCCTTCTCACTGTTTACCACCCTACCTAACTTTGTCTCATCCGCAAACTTGGAAATGGTACTTGCTATACCCAAGTCCAGATCATTTATGTATATTAAGAAGAGCAGTGGTCCTAATACCGATCCCTGGGGGACGCCACTGTACATTTCCCTCCAGTCAGAAAAGCAGCCGTTCACCACAACTCTCTGTTTTCTGTCTCCCAGCCAGTTCTAGATCCATGCTGCCACTGTCCCTTTTATACCATGGGCTTCTATCTTTCTTACAAGTCTTTCATGTGGCACTTTGTCAAATGCCTTTTGAAAGTCCATATAAACTACATCAACTACACTTCCCCTCACTCCTGTGGATGAGAACGATAAAACTCTTTGAGCTCACATGTCAATGTTAGCTCTGATTTAGGATCAGGGTTGTTATGAGAACCCTGATGATATTTTAGTCTTACATCTTATTGCGTCTGTAGATCTTCAATATCATATTTAAAGAAATTATTACATTATCGATATATTTTAGGCAATGCAAATAATCATTTTGATTGCAGACACTACATCTATGAAAGGACAAAAAGCTAAATTTGATGTACCTTCAAAGTATGGAACACTCCACGATGGTATCAATATACCTATGTTAGATGAGCTTACTGTATGTGTTAATATTCATAAGACAACGCAAATCAGAAAGTGGATAGCATTTACATACTACATCTCACAGTCAGAAGATAAACAAGAACTAGGAATCGGAGGAGAAGATGACAAGCTTATTATATGGCTTTCTGGAATAAAATATTGGACTGGCATCACAGTGCAACCAAATGAGTGGCACATAGTGTGTTTAACGTGGAGCAAATCTTCTAGCCAGGTATTTGTGTACCTAAATGGCACGTCGATATTCAATTTTAAAATATCACTTGGCAAAGTTAAACCCAATGGAAATTTAGTGCTGGGGCAGTACCAGCAGCAACAGCAAGGTTCAGATATTGAATTTGATAAAACCTGGGCCTTTTTAGGAGATTTATATTATTTTAGACTGTGGAATTTTGTGGTAAAATCATCTGAACTCTCCATGTCGAAATGTACTGATGGAAATGTTGTCAACTGGCAGACAGATCATTGGACTTTCACAAGCAAAACTCTGGTAGATGATTCCACCCTGCCATGTGGTAAGTCAGGTCTGAAACTTACCTTGGATGAAGAGCATTGCTGTAGTCAGTCTTATGATGTGAAAGGCACTATACAAATGTAATTTGTTGTTTGTTGGTGTTGTTCAACTGCTCCAAGTGCTCCAAGACCCCATCCCCCATGAAGGGCGCTACATAAATCCAAGTTGTTGTTATCATCTGGAACATTTTTCTGCATTGACATTATTTGCACTACACACCTTTCAAGATAATCTAGCTTTCATTTTTGGCACCTATTGTCATGTTAGAAGCATCATGTATAATAGTGTTTTTTTCCCTGTAGCTTCATCAGTTCCAGTGACCACTCAGACCCCTTTCAGTTCTGCGGGTAAGTATAAAGGTTTCAGTATTATAATAAAATCATGTACATAGTCATTGAAAAGTGTAAATCCCTAAAAGTATGTATCATAATACAAATCCTTTCATAATTGTTGCTGCTTAATTCTGTGTAACAATCCTTTTTTTTATTATAGGTTTTATAGATAGTCAGGAAGGCAATGAAAGGGGAAACCTCAACAAACTATATAAAATTGTAAATGTTATAATTGTAAGATAAACCCAGAATAGCAATTCAAAGTAAGCCAAAAGGATGTCAAGTCGAATGTAACCTAGGAAAAACCATACTCAAAGAGTTATAAATGTTTGGACTATCTACTAATGTAAGTAATTAAAGCAAATATATTGGTTTCAAAATTAAATTAAACGGTCTTTCCTCAACTCTGAATTTCCCATGTTCAAAAATGCCATCTTTATAATATGACCAGAGTACATGAATATGAAATAGAATACAAATTAAATTTTTAGCCTCCTTTAAAGTGAAACCAAGGGGAAAATATTTTACAGTTTAACGCATCAGTTTATATTAGAGAAAGGTAACAAAGTAAGAAAAGAGTAAGAAAATTGGCTTATGTTGCAAGTAGTCATATTTCATATATTACATATTGCTGCAAAGAAATGTGATTTATCGTTCTTCTAGAAAGTATTACACTTTCAGCAAGACAAGTACACACCTTTTGATTTAATCATACCTACAGGAACTTCAAATGGAATAACATCTGTTGTTTCACATTCCGTTTCAACATCACAAATGACTTCTCCTCCAAACCCACCAACTTCCAGTACAACTGAAAAAACGACAACTTCTTCAAGTCTCCTCACGTCTACAACCACTTCAAAATCAATTCCTCCCACTACGGTCACTGGGCCATCATTGACCAACTCTCCGGGGACGTCACCCGTATTAGGTATTTGGCATTGATCACGTGCATGGATTATTATTGTAGGTGTTTACATATTTAAGAAACGTTAAAAAAAAAGGTTAATTTCCATTGTTATTTTATAATTTTAAATGTCTTTATCTCCAAACAATTGTTAGCAGCAGAGGCAAGTAGCTATACTTGAATGTCAAAGGACTTTGCTCAAAAAAAAACTTTGCCCCTGGTTATCACTAGCACATCCAGGTCCCATGCAATAATGCATAACAATCAGAAATCTGATACAAACAGTTAATGTTTTTTTAATCATGCATAATACCAATGCCACCCATTATAACAAAACACTGCAATACAGTGAAGAGCACAGAAATGCAACAAAGTGATTAAATCTAGAATTTGATAACATAACTATTATTGGAAGAAATATTTACCTTAGTTGTTTCCTCCCAAAATTTAAGTACAAATAAATAACTCTGCTTATTTTATCTTATGAACCTACCATATACGTGAACCAATTTAAAGGTAAATCATATCAAGTTTCATAATCGTGTCAATGTGAAAATTATTATCAGATGATAATTAGGGAACCGTTTATCTAATCACCATAAAATGCATTTAATTATCCTATTAACTTGGTTCTGAAATGCCACATATTTTATATCACAATGTGTTTATTTTGACAGGGTGTATACTAATTTCACTTTGTATTACAGTCCATTTATTCAAAACGACAATGGTCATTCAAGTGAAGAGTGTTGGTGGTGGATCATTCTCTTTTCAAGAAGTTCTGAATCTTACAACAAATTGGGTAACAGATACATTACACAATTCCCTTTTAGCTTAATCCATGCAGAAATGCCAACAAAGTATAAAATATGGTAACTATTATTCCTGGCCCATTAAGATTTAAGAAAAAATGTCTTGTTGAATATCACCATTTATATATGAAAACCCTTTCGTACATGATTTGATCTTAGAATGCATGAGTTATGCGCTCACATACCTAGAAACACATTTCAGGAAGTAACACAATAGTCCCAGCAGCTCTTGGAACAGAGTGACTCCAGGTACAGAAGAAAATCCAGCTGTTATGTTGGAATCTGTGAAATAGTCAACGTATTTCAAGCTTTCTGCAAAATACAGTTTAAAAGTGAAATTATTCTTTAAAAAAGGTTTGAAGATGTATTTGGAGGTTCTCACATTGTTAGTGACACCGTAATCCCCAAACCTGCTCTCGTGTGATAGAAATACTCAATTAATGGGTTTTGATTCTGTAACAAAGAGTTTCAAAGAGTTATATTAGAACATACAAAACCATTCAGAAAAAGATTGCTCCAAATCTAATACTTTGTTAACTGCATTAATGTTTGCTGCCGTACATTTCCTCCTATATAGCTCAAGAAAATCAATACAAATATTGTATTGCTGGATCTGAAACTGATGAACATTGCGCAAAGGTATGTGCATATCACAATAACAACAAATTACACTTGTATAGCACCCTTCACATTGGAAAGATAGTGGGAACATAACCTTAGCTTGAATGACAAAAAAAAATGTTGAATATACAAGTTTGTTTCCTCCCTGAAGGAACTTTGGGGATGGAATAACCACAAGCTAAAAGAAGAGTAAAAATTCACATTCATTTTAATCAAGCTGAAGTATTGCAAGAGTTGCGCATTTTAATTGGTTCATATTAGATTATTTTTTGTTTNAAAAAAATGTTGAGCTTGTAGCACTACAGCGAAATTGACAAGGTGAATTTGCACAAACGCTTAATAATATATACATACAATTACCCTTTCAGACAAAATACGGGCACTGGAATCATTATAAATGCTGACAAAGTAAGTCTTGTACATTAAATGAGTACTTTATTGGAAGATATTATATTAATCTACATAAAACACACTGATTAAAATAAAATATTTGCAAAATTATATTTATAGATTCAAAGGAATTCAGCTTTTGACAGGTAAGAACTAAACTCCTTGAATAGGACTCATTTTGTTTGAATGGCTTTACCACTTAAATTTCAGGAACATACATGTTCAATTATAACAGCGCTGTCACTGTTTTTAATTCTAGTGAATACAGTTGTATAACTGCATTGGAAGTAACTTCAGCTGAGGAAGAATCACAAATAAAACAAGAGATAAAGGACACATTGACAAATGAAAGTTATACAGATTCTACATTAACCATGTCAGTAGATGCTCTCAATATATGTGTTATTCGACTAGGTAATGTATTATCGGAGGATATTACTTTTATTTCAAAATGATTAACAATTAACTGATTTTAAAATTCATAACAAAATTATATGAAATAAAAGATTACAGTGTTTACTAATCTGCAACTATCAAATGCATTTCATAATACTATAGATTCAGTGTGATATCACATCAAATCATTTGTCAGCTGACACATTATTTGCTCCATCTTTTCCATTTTTTCTCTTTTCACCTACAAACACATTTCAGCTCTGTCATGTTGAAATTATTACTCTATTTGAAATCATTGCTCTATTTGAAATTACTGCTAAAAATAATTTGTTACATATTATATTTGACAGATCATTTTTGGTCGAATCATAGTGAGTCTAAAGGATTTTTAGCAAGGCATCTTGATTTACTGCATAGAAGTCCTTCAACTAAGAAGCACATTTATTAAATTAAGCTTAAATCATTTTAATCAATTACATTTGTATTCCTTTTCATCATCACCATCAAGTTCCTCTCTACCTAGATATGTGATCAAGAGCTTTTGATTTTAAATGAAATTTGCTTAATACTAAAATCTTAACTTTTTGAGAATCAGTAATTTAATAAAGAAAATATGTTCAGAAATGAGCTACAATAATATTCGCATCTACTCACCCAATCAGTTCCAGGTCTTTGTCCAGAAGAATTCATATCAACAGTTAAAGGAAACTACACATGGCCTTCGACTGAGCCTTTGAAGATAGTCAGATTAAGCTGTGTTATACCCACAAATTACATGGCAAAGAGGAAATGGTAGGTATATATGATTACACAGTCCCCAAACGATTAGGAGACCATTTGGAAGTAGAATTGATGGCTACCATTGATGTATATACTCCAGTAACTGATATTGATTTCCTTTCAAAAATATCTTCTCAACGTGGTCTCCGCACCAGGACTCAACTGTGATTCACTTCTGAATCATATTGCACAATCCAAATTATACTACACTATTTGTGGTGAATGGTTTTAAAATATCCAGTATACATTTTACTGTCTAAGTGTCTATCCATCCGGACCTGCTCGATTTTCTTTCTTGTATTACAGTAATCTGAATTATGTAACCAATTTGTCAGAATGGGCAGATCATGACTTGGATGAATGCAAGACAATACCAGGTTGCATCCTTGATCTGGAAAATGTCACTATCAATTCCAGTAAGTCCATTGGAATTTGTTTTTCTTTAACTGCAAGAATTATTTTCAAGTATTAATATATAGCACTCTAGACCTCTAAATATGGGATAACAGCATAAGTGGAAAATTTACTTATTATTAAAAAACATAAAAAGTCTTATTTAAGACTTTATTTAAAACTAGTTCATTTAACAAAGTATGTCTTTTGAGGAATGTAACCAGAATAATAATGATTAGGCATAAGTAGCAGAAATCAAAAAGAAGTGCACATTCATGTCATCTGACATGTTCTGACTACAAACTATGTCTACAATGTTTTAATTTCTATTTGCTAGAATAATTAATAGGAATACAGAAGATGTATGGATTGTATATTTTGGATCCAATGAGAAAACTGGAGAATCTGGCACATAAATTTGGAGAGTGGTGGCGGGAACAAGTTTGGGGCGCAAATTTTTCAAGAGCATACGTGTATTGTTGAATATTTTACATCATCCTCGTATATCCATTGAAAAGTATTCATGTCCTATATATTCTAAACCTACCCCACTTTGCTAAATATATTTTCAGATTTATAATATTGCCAATATGTGAAGATACTTTCTCACATATTCATTTTAACACCTGACTAATACCTAGTGCGTTACCTGTTTTTTTAATACTTTTCATTAATGTTTTCACATTTTAAAATACACAATTAATCCACTTTGCAGTATTTTCTGTGAAGCACTTTGAAATGCCTCAATGAAGTGATAAGGCGCTATATGAAATGCAAGGATTTTTATTATTATTATCTGAAGTCATCTTTTTCTTCGCAATGTTTAAACAGCAAATGCAGATGAATATGCAATTCAAATGCTTGCTCTCACCAATAATACATCCGATTGGTCAAAGGAAGAGATCTATATCATTGTTTCAAAAACATCTGATGTCGTGGAGTTTGGAGAGCTTTCTCCTACGCTGACAGATAACGTGATAGGAATTGTTGACAACCTGTTGAACAAAGCAAATGATCTCTATGACGTCTCTTCAGAGTAAGTCTGTTTTATTTACAGAACTTTGAAACTAATCTATGTCTCCTTTAATATTTCTGCTAATATAAAGTTGATAGTAAAAAAAATGAAAGACACTCCTAGAGATATTTTAGAACAAAACAATCGACTTAAATCTAGAACTTAGTCCTTTTTGCAATCTGTGCAACACTAAAGCATTAGCATGTATTGTGTGACTTTGATTTGTGTTGTATTCTATATTGGTTTCATACGATAAATAATTGAGGCACTTTTAAGTTGTGTCTCATTTCTGCATCACTCTGCCATGCGGAAAATAACAGTGAACAGTATAAATGATTATTTATTTCACAATGGTGTTCATGTATTACTAATACAACTGCAGTATATTCAGGTTGCAGAAAGAAATATACCATAAGATTTGAAGATATGCCTTTGAATTTAGTTATTCTTTCAGTGTGATTTTTTGCAGGGAACTGAAAATCAGTTCATTTGCAATCTATAGTGAGCTGTGTAAATTAATTTTATTTTAGCTGAATATTATAACATTTAGCATATTCATTTTAGACTTGTTATTGATAACCCATTAAGCAACCATCAGATTACATCTTAAAATAAATTTGATTTCAGGATGTTAAGCACCATAAACATTTTAGGAGACAAATTCGATTTTCCGGATTTTCAGATAGACTTTGTTAAAGGGGTCTTTAGCACGACTATGGTCAATGCCAATTCCAGTCATTTCAATGGAATGATATTTAGCATTGATTCATACTGCGAAGATTTCACTCCTATGGTAAGAACTTTATTGAAAAAATATTCTTAGATTAAATTATGTTCCATTGATTTTGTATGTTCAATTACTGAGCAATTCTATCAATTCCTATATAAATGTTAAAAGTGTGTTAAACATTCAAACAATTTTCATAGTATTAATCTGATTACAAGATAAATACCTGGATAAATTGTTACTATGAACCTGAGAAAAAATCAATGTACAGTATTTATGATAATCTGTAAATTTTATGAAATGATCATAACCAATATTTCTAACTATAACATATTTCTGCTGGTGAACTTACTTGTAAAACTTGGCAAATAAGTAGTTGCATCAAGTTCTTTTATTCTGTCGCTATAAGTATTCCTATTCAATGTTTTTGTTGTAACATAGCAAGTTCCAAATTATAGGTGTGTTTGTTTCTTTCAAATGTCCAGTGTAATTTGGGATGATTAACAATTCTGTGATATAGTAGAGGAGCAGGTAGGACATATATCTACAGAATCTATTTCATGTTGACTCTCATAGAACCAGCATGGTGCACAATAATTTTTTTCTGAATAGAAACAGAAATATATGGAGAATTAAAAGTTAGTTATGTATGTAACATATCCATTTTTCATTGCATATCAGATTTAAAATAAACATAATGATATTCTATAAAATTCATTTTCAAACTGTGGTTAACAGATCTATATGGACGAAATAATTATTGGCGAGCCTGACCTATTCATTGTGCTACCAACTTCATTGCAAAACAGTTTTCAAACAGAATCTGTATCCTCAACTTCCAGAATTCAATTCCAGTTTTATAGGAAGGCTTCACTCTTCCAGGTAAAATATCCATAGTAAATTTGTTAATACCCAAGTTTAGTTAATTGTTTAACTGTATTACTGCCTTGTTACATGTTGCCCAATGGTATCCTATACTGTCCCATCATCTGCAACCAGGAGAGTAAGATCATCTAGCCCTGGACTACAATGGTTGTGATCAATGTCAATCAATATTTGTATTGATTTTCTTAAGCTATATAGGAGGAAATGTACAGGAGAGACGGAGAGAGAATAGGAACAAAGAAAACCAATAAGAGCTCATGTAAAATGTTTATTTTTTTATGATAGTTTTCTTTTAATAACAAGGTGTGTTTTAGCTACTTGGAGCAAATGCAGTAATAAAGCTGAATCTACATAACGTATTTTATTTTGCAACCATAGGATCGAAGCCTCAATAACCAAAGACTCAATAGTTATGTGGTCGCCTCAAGTGTTGCTGGAACCGAAATCATAAATCTCAGTGACCCAGTGAAAATAAAACTACTACACTTGCATCCCATATCGGTAAAGTACTTCATTCAGATTCCTTTTTTATTGCTTCTGAAACAGACCCTTAAGAATAAAAACACTCCACATTCAATCACTATTTTTATTGTTTACAAAATAATCCAAATCGAACAAAAAATGTTTTACCTTTTCAGGATTCGGATTCTTTAATAAGGAAATCTCTTAGAATTGATTGCACATTCGACTCCAAGGTCAAAGAAATAGAAGCAAAACCTAAAAGTATTTTTCTCAACAGATTACAGAATCAGTGACATGCGTGTTCTGGGATTATGAACAGAATAGTAAGTAGATTATTTTTCACAAGACATTCGTGAATTTCAGCCCCTAAGATTTAAAAAAAATTCTACATGATTTCTCGGCAAAAACAAATCATTCTTCATGTTTCCAATACCTGTTCTGATCTCTCAGACATTTTCCCCGACTTTTATCAACTGAATACGTTATCTCAGTAGGGGAATGATTTGACACTAATGCCAATATTTTTGTATTTGGGTTTTCTCAAGTGTAGCTCTATAAATATTCTGCAGCTATTCTAAGGGAGGGCAGGGCTAGAGGGTAAAGTGAAGAGTCTCAAACAATGGAGAGAATACAAGAATTTATTCCCCACAGAAGAGTTAATGTGTGGAACAGTTGAGAACACTATTTGAGATTGGGGAACAGGTGCAGACAGAGATGAACAAATACTCTGCTGTACACCAGAATTTCTCTACTGTTAGGGTGGAGAGGGTTGAAATATGATGTTGAAGGAGAAAAAGAATGGATGAATGTTCTTTTATTTTCACTTGAGCACATTTGACATTCAGATGTGGTAGGTTTACAATAGCCATTTGAGGGAATAGGAGTGAAAGGAAGAATAGCCGTTTCTTGTTCCCTTGTTAATAAGTATCTTAAACTGCTTGGATAAAGCACAATTTATGTAGATATATGTTGAATATAAATCTTGGCATGCAACACGCAGAACTATGCTATCTATAAAAGTGCCTTCATTACAGATTGAAACATCTTTCTTCTTTAACAGATGGTGTTGGTGCATGGAACTCAACCGGCTGTGGAGTAATATACACTGATGTAAATTACACGATCTGTGGCTGTAACCACCTCACTCACTTCGGAATCTTATTGGTAAGAATCGCATAACATCAGGTGCAAATGTTGGCATCCAATAAAGTAACTAAAGCTGATAGCCATTATTTGTGAAGCGCTTTGAGATGCTTCAACATGATAGGGAGCTATAAAAAAAAACTTTTTTTCTTTGCCCAATTTCTGATACACTTCAAAATCTCCCTTCCTCTTGTTCTATGCCAATCTCCTGTGTGGCAATGTGACTACAGCCACGCTGACTCATTGTTCCATGTTTCTCCAGGTGCTTCAGGGTGCCATTTCATATGTTACTTGCTGCAGATGGAAACTCCCTGTCCTATAGTTCTCATGGTTTTCTTCATGCCGCTTTTCAGAAGTTGAGATGACCTTCACCCTTCTCCATTCTCCAGGCACCAATCCAATTTTCAATGATTTTCTAAAAATAGTAGTTATCGTGTATCTGATTTTATTAGGCATTTCCTTAGTGTGCAGGTAATCTGGGACAAGTGGTACATTGTGCTGTATTTGTTCTCAATCTGCCCATCTTATTTGTAAATTCTATCATTCTCAACATTGTTTTTACTGTCCTGGAAATTCTACTTGTGAATTAGACTGTATTGGAAATACAGACTGTATATGAACCATAGACTGCATTGGAAATGCAGTCTATGGTTTCCTCTGTGCAATGAAATCGCCTTTTGTCTGATTTGTCTGACACAATTGTCTGATTTTTTACTTGAAGAGAGTTTTCACTCGTTCCTACTTTCCTTTTGTTCCTTTTTCCTTTTGCACACTATAAATTTTACTTGAAAACTAATTTTTTTTGTTTTTCAGGGCATCTCTGGGACCCGAATTGATCCTCTTAACACAAAACTGCTCTCATTCATAACTTACATCGGATGTGGTGCCTCATCGATCTTCTTGGGGATTGTTTTATTGACTTACCTGATTTTTGAGTAAGTAGTCATATATTATGAATTAATGTGAGATTTCCTACTTTTATTGGGACATTAATGTTACTAAAAGTTTTCATCTTTATGAATATATTAATACAAAATATGAATGTGCAAAATAGTAAATGTATATCATATATATCTGTATCAAAGACTCAGATTTCAAAAATGTATGCTTGATTGTTAATGCCAGTTCAACTGTCTGACTGATTATACTAACAGAACAATTCTTCTTGTTAGAGAACTTCGCAGAGATTATCCGTCTAAGATTCTGCTGAATCTTTGTACTGCTTTGCTCATGCTAAATATGGTCTTCCTGGTGGACTCCTGGATAGCATCCTATGACAGTTCTAGCCTTTGTATCTCAGTGGCTGTTTTCCTACATTATTTTCTGCTAACATCCTTTACTTGGATGGGAATAGAAGCGGTCCACATGTACTTTGCACTGGTCAAGGTCTTTAACATCTATGTTCGTCATTACATACTGAAGTATTGTATAATTGGATGGGGTGAGTTTCACATCATTTAAATATTCTCTAAACAATGAAATATTTGAAGTGTAGTATCTTGGGATACAATGGCCACTTCTTTCCTTTATTTAATTTGTTCTGTTCCATACAGGAGTACCAGCAATTGCTGTCGTTGTGGTGCTTTCTATCGACAAGGATTTTTATGGCAAGGAATATTATGGAATATCTACTGATCCAACTGATACGTTGTAAGTAGAAAGTCCATTATTCCACAGCATGCTAAATAGCAATGCCACAGCTTGAGCTAATCCTACAATTATCCTTCAATGTGGACTCTCCACATAAAGTGTACAGCTCATAATTAGATCCCATGGGTTTTTATTTATGCAGGCCTATAGAAGGCCAAAACCCATTACGTGATTGAGTTTGTAAGGGTTGATATGCTTTTCTTAAGAAACAGGTTGTGCAAGTCCACAAGCACTCATTCTGTTTCTATTAACTGAAATAATTTTCCTGCCAATTACAACCTCTTTAAACCATTCATTATATCGCAACACGTGCTACTGGTGCAACAATACATTGTTTTCTCCTAACATCAAAAAGTTTCATGTGGGAACCGTGGGATGCCAGTTTATCACATGCTGGTAGGGCAAATTCAGCACCTTACTGTGCTTTTTTTCCCCTGTATTTTAACACTACTTTGTCAGAAATGGAATAGATTAATGTGATTTTGTTAACTTGATTTCAGTTATAATATAATAACTACAAATTATTTCTTCAATCTTTTCCTAGCTGCTGGATCCAAGATATCACAGTTTTCTATACATCAGTGGTGACTTACTTCAGTATCATATTCCTTGTAAACCTAGTGATGTTCATTGTGGTCCTTAACCAGATTCACACTATGAAAGCTAAAATGCACAGCAGGAATAGACGGAATGTATTTCTTCACAATGTAAAGAGCACTGGCAGCCTGACAATCTTACTGGGATTAACATGGGGCTTTGCCTTTTTTGCATGGGGCCCCGTGAAGATCACTTTCATGTACCTGTTTACAATCTTCAACACATTGCAAGGTAATTTGAATACAGACTATAAATCGCTGTCATGAATTGCATATTCTGCATAGATATTTCTTTGAATTTCAAAGGTATTATATTATAGCAGGTACATTGTAACATCCAGTATTTTTGGATGCAAAGATTATGTATCAGGATGTGCTGTACTATTTAAATGCTGATGTTTAAAATCTTAGAATAATAGGCTATATACACCTTTTCTGTGTTATATGATTTCTGTTACAATCTCCTACTCACAATATCTTTGACCAATTGTGTTAATTGAAGGCAAAACAGGTTACTCTCTCTCTCTGTGAGAAAAGTCTATGCTATAGCTTTTTCAACCTTTGAATTGAAGAGTAATAGATTTATAGAACAACCGTAGAACCAAAACAATTATACACATTACTTAACTTCTATTTTGCCGAAATGGTATAGTTATCATTTCGGAGGTCTTTAGAATTACATCACTTATTTTGTTTAATCTTCACAGGCTTCTTCATATTTGTGTTTCATTGCCTGATGAAAGAAAATGTGCGCAAGCAGTGGAGAATGCATCTATGCTGCGGTAGATTTAAACTGAATGAAAACTCTGGTAGGAATAATTGCAGTCTATTATTTAAGAACTGTTCACTAACACAGGAATGTAAGGAATGCAAGCATTAGGAGTTCATCATATACCGTGAAAAGAAAGAATTATTTAAAAAATTGTGTGGTGTAGGAGGAGGTGGCTGTAAGCACGGTCGAAGAGGAAGGTTTTCAGGCGGGACATGAAAAAGGGGAGAGATGGGGCAAAGTGGAGGGATTGAGGAAGAGTGTTCCAGGGTTTCAGGGCGTAGTGGCTGAAAGGGTGACCTACAGTGATGGTGGTGAGGGTGCAAGGGACGAGCAGGAGCCGGTGCCAGTTGAGCGGAGAGGGGCCAGAGAATGAAGGGATTTGAACACGAGTGTGAGGATCTTGAAGTCTATCCAATCGATGATGGGGAGCCAGTGGAGCCTGGGCCAGAACTGGTGAGATGCGGGTACGGAGTTTGGTCCGGGTCAGTGTGTGGACGGCAGAGTTCTGAAGGAGCTGGATCTTTTGAATAGTGGAGCTGGGGAGACCAGAGAGAAGTGCGTTTGAGTAATCCAGGCGGGAGGTGACAAACACATGGCCAAGGATTTTGGCTGCATTTGGGGTAAGGTATGATAGGAGGCAAGCAGTGTGGTGTAGGTGGAAGAAGTCAGTCATGGTCAGGCACTGTATTGGGGGAGAAAGGACAACTGGATGTCGAACCGGATGCCTAAATCACGCATTGGTGTGAGGGAGAGTCCAGGGAGGTTGAGAAGGCCAGATCCGTAGGAGAGAAGACGTTGGCAGGAGCCAACGAGTATGGCTTCTGTCTTGACCACATTTAGCTGCAGGAAGTTTGCACATCCAGGCCCTGATGTCTGCCGGACAAGCTGATAGAACATCGGCGGACCTGGAGTTGGTACCGGAGGCAAAGTAGATTTGTGTGTCATCAGCATACACGTGGAAGTTTAGCTTGTGTCTGTGGATGACATTGCCCAGAGGGACCATATCAATAAGGAAAAGAAGAGGGCCAAGGATGGAGCCCTGGGGTACCTGGCAGGTGACCTGGTGGAGAAACAATTTGGCGAGGTGTAATGGAGGCAGTTGGTTAGTAGGACTCAAACCATGTGAGTGTAGTCCCACTGAGGTAGATGAGGGAGGAGAGGTGCTGGAGGAGGATGGCATGGTCGATTTTGTTGAACACGGCAGAGAGATCCAGGAGGATGAGGAGGCAGAGGGAGTCCTGGTCAAAGATAGAGAGGGCGTTGTTTGTGACTTTGACAACCGCTGTCTCTGTGCTGTGGGCAGCGTGAAACCAGACTGCAGGGGCCTAAGGAAGGAGTGGAGGGAGAGGTGTAACCGAAGTTGAGTGACCAGCAGCTGGGTGGGGAGAGGGTCGAGGCAGCAGGTGCTGAACTTCAACTGGGTGTTTGTGGTTGACAGGGAAGAGAGAGAAAGGACCGTAAGGAGAGGGAAGTGGCAGGAGCCGTGACGGAGGGGGAAGGCGGTGTGGATGGTCTGGGTGGGGTAGAAGTGGACATGGGGAGGGGAGGACGATGCAGCCAAGTGGATGTTCTCAATCTTTGAGGCAAAGAAGTCTAGGACCTCTTCGTACTTGACGTTTGATGTGAGGATAGAGGGGGCTTGAGGGGGTGCACGGAGCAGGTGATGGATGGTGGAAAACAGCGTCTTTGGGTCATTCAACTACACAGTATCTTTTAATCTGTCAAATAATTCTTCCATGATTGACAATCAGTGCTGGGTCAATAAATCCTCTAATGCCCATAGAATTACAGAATATATATAGAAATACATATAGAAATATGGAATAAAAAGCCTCGAAAACAGTCCAAGTTTTTTTAAAATCAGTTGAGAAAACATAATTTACCATGTAATGGCTGCCCTCTTCTTTATTGTTGCCTATTTATAGCATTAGCGTGTCAGCTTGGCTCAGTGGCAGCACTCTCATCTCTGAGTCAGAAGGTTGTGGGTTCAAATCCCACGTCAGGACTTTAACTCACATAGTTTAAGATGACACACCAATGCAGTGCTAGGGGGTGTTTTGCATTGTCGGAGGTACTGTATATCAGGTGAGACGTTAAACTGAAGTCTTGTCTGTTCAGGTGGACGTTAAAGATCCCATGGCACTGTTCAAAAAGAAGAGAGTTTCTCTCTGCTGCCCTTCCTGGCCAATAATCCCCCAAATAAAATTGACTATTCATACCCAGGCTGTTTGTGGGACATTGTTGTGCACAATTGTGTTGCCACTTTTGCCTACAATTATCCAGTCACTCCATTTCAAAGTAATTCCTGTGAAGCTCTTTGAGTTGTCCTTCCAATGTGATAAGGCGATACACCAAAGGTAAGGATTACTATTATTATTATTATTTTGATAGCCAGCTATGGATAGGTTCTAACTCAATGGAGAATAATCCTGCTCACAGTTCTCTCATTGTAGAGCCAATCCGACTGAATGTTTTGTAGTGCATTTAATGTAACATATGGTTTATTTATTTTCTTTGTATTTGTAGAGTGGAGCAGAACTGGAACAAATGCAAAACTGAGACATCTCGGGAAGAGTTCTTTAGCACATTCCAACCAATCCTCAAAGTCTAATTCTACCACCTCATCCTCCAATGTATCAAACTCTGAGTATATTCTGTAAGGCGCTTTGAGATGTCTGAAAGACGTGATAAGGCACTATATCAAATACGAGGATTATTATTATTATTATTATTATTATTAGTATTATTATTATCTGAAATACAGTAAAAAGTGACAACTTGTGGGCACTCGATTATTTTACTAAAATTGTTTTTTTAACCTATTAAAACACTGGCCAAGCTACATAATTGAATATCCTGCCTCCGCTCAACAACTCAAGATGGAGAACAATTCTTCATGCCGCAAGTGTAGTAATATTCTCAATCTGCACTAACATTGTGGAATTCTGGGTGTTGGCTGTCACAACAATTTAAGGCTGTAACCGACATTCTTCCACCTGCAAAATCAGCCTTAAAAATATTTGGAACAATGGTATTGAAACTGAGATTAAGGTCAAAGCTACTATCTCCCCTGCCTAGGGCTGTGCAGTTCACCACCACAGTTTTAAGAAACTTTAATTAGGGTTTCACCCACATTGTTCAAAATGTTTAAGACCGAATTTGCAGGTGGTAAATTGTTGGGTGGATTTAAACTATCATTAGCACAATCCAGGCCACCTGTTAACACACATTATGAAGTTCACTACGCTTTGTAGTGTGAGGAATATATCACCCATAGTGAAATACAAGCTTAATACTATTTCTAATCATATGAGCAATTTTTCTTCCTCACTATCACATATAGAAAAAATATTATTTTGTGGGTGAATTCCTTAGTTGCCACCAGTCTTTCTGTACTTTGGTTAATGCATAATCTCCAGTAAAAGTGACTGGGTATCAATCAGAACCCAGAACCCTTATCAATTTATCTTTCCCCAATTGTTTCATTACAACATTTCCCATTATAAACCATAACAGACAGATGCGTGTCCTTTTAGCAATTGGCATTTGATGAACCGCAATGTTCTGCTTATTTTTAACATAGATTATGGAAAAAAGGTGAAAAAAAGGAAGAAATATAATAATGGCAATTTCAAAACATATTTCTTTGCTGACTTTATAAATCGTTCCATTAATGGCCACCAGATGGCTTGTAGCATCTCCTTTCTCTATTGAATGCCAATTTAAAATTGCAGCATTGATAAAGTACTGGGGTTCTCTCCTCATTGGAAGGAGGAGGGTAGGAGCAACAAAGTGTCTAGTTTGTGTTTGGTAATAGAAATTTAAAAAACTGTTTCAAGAAAGTAAATGCACGGCTTTGGACAATTATACCAGGGATGTGTTATGAAACTATACAGTTTCAAAAGTTGTGCTACACACAAAAATCCTGTAAAGGTAATGCAGACGTTTATGACCACTCTGGATAAGATTATAGTAATGAAAGGCTTTCATTTTTATCTTTTATTTGGTCAGCCGGATGTCTAACACATACGGAAAACCATCACCATCACCAAAGAGTCTCCAACCCAACCTACTGAGAGCTCCGAGTCTGTTCGATATCTGTTCATCTGATAATGGAATGTGCACATTCACCACAGCGGGAAATTCCCTGCCTACCCAATCCTGGAGAATAAGTGCAACTTCACGACCCCAGTCCAAATTGGGTATTGCTGGAGTTTAACCAGATAAGACTGTGAAGCCTACCATTGTAGAACACTGAGAAGCTTCCCATTACTTGTCCAGCTAGGACCATTGTACCTATCAGAGCTTTGTCTTATGGAGTGATCAGGAGCCAAATGGGAGGAATGACTGGCATTCAAATTGTACCAATAAACTAGGCTGACCGGTTCATCATTAACAGCGCCCTGGAGCCCTGTGGACCTGCCTAACTCAGGTATTGGACTACCAAGACTGCTGAGGAGAATATACTCGTATCTTCCATTACAAGGCGTGTTACTTTGAAGTCAATTTAGCCTCAAAGAGACCCAACCATAGTCATCAGTTGGACGGACAGAAGATTAGGATCATGTACACAGAGAGTAAAGACAAATGCTTCTACTCTACACAAATCATTAAACTGGTGAAAGATTAACTGTATAGTAACTTTGTAATGTCTAAAAATTAAAACAAAAGCAAAGGGATCTTATTTTCTGACTACAGTAAAACTTGATTTCTAATGTTTTTGAATGATTTCCCAAATTATTTCGAGCAAAAGTCCTGCAATAGGATTGATGTAAAGATTATTTCTCTTCTAATATGAAAAGATTGCATCAGTAATAATCCACTACTATGGTGTTGTTGCAAAACGTTTGGTGAAATTGTAATAGAGATCAAAAATGTATACTGTGAATTATGATTCAGTTATGTATATTAAATACTTTTCTTGCTTGGCATTCTTGGTTGAGAACATACAGTATTTTTATTTTATCTGGGTCAAAGTAAGCATCAGTAATATCAATGTTCAAATTAATGCAAATTATAACTACAAACTACAAGTGTCAGAATGCACAAAGTTATGAAACACTGTGCTTATGAATTCTGGACATTATAAGACCTAGTAAGTATATTTCTAATTATATATTATCACATGCCATTATTCTCTGTTCCTCAACATTGTGATATTTACCCAAATTCTCTTGATTTAAACTTGAAAAGCAAGTTACTTTCTACGTGGTTATGTACCTCCAAATAGGATTGTTCAAGTTTCACTTCACACTTAGCAAACACACTCTCTGTGCTTAATTAACCCATCTTTTGCTCTATGGTTTCAGTCTGTTGGCGTGACAGGACATACTTGTTTAGCAGCTGTACTGGTTTGTTTCTTTTCCATTCGATCAATGATATAATCCCGAAGGTAGTTACATATTAATTAGTTTTGATTAGGTACCTTGAATTTACTGCCATTTAAGATAAGCAACATTATATATCATTTGTGGCCCATATATTATTTGCAACATTGGCGAAAGGGCAAAATTCCCCCCTGATTAATATAGAATAGGCAAGAATTCAATTCAAGGTTTTGAGTGATTGCAATATTCACTTCTGGTTGGAATTTATACTTGCATTCCAAAGCTGGGTGCATGAAATTCTCCTGTGTAGGACAACCAGCCTAGGGCAACCTGCAAAATCTGTCCAGTCTCTAAATAAAATATTCATTTTCATTGCCAGCAACATACTTCCCCAAGCAAACAAAATGGACTATACTGCTCATAAAATCTTGTGCAAAAAAGAATGGTTTCACCCACAAAAATGACTCAATGATGTGATATGCAAGGGTTATTATTATTATTATTATTACTGTAATTCTAGTAATATTGACCACAAAAACCTACAAATACAAATGAAGCCTCTACCGAGGGTTGGGCTATGAACATTTCGTATTTTTCCCTTTTGATTTAGTGAATGATGTCTGATTAAAATCAAAAGACTCAGCATTGTTATATACTACACAGTTTATGCAAACTCCGTGGAAGTTTCTCACGAAATCAATCTGAATTTGTGCCATATCTTAATCTCTAACCCAATTCAGTGTTGGAGAGAGATTGCGGTGGAGACATGGGAAGATGCTCTGCGGGTGTTGATGAGCAGATAATGTTCCTTCATAAGACTCAGATCCTCTTACAAAGTCATCCAAACAAAACCAAGTCACTCGTCACTCTACACTTAGGTTCCAGCAGGGAATCTACTCTGTACCAGCTTGCTTTTCATTACTGCTGTTCCTTCCTCACCAATGTGCTGAGTGCTTTACCCTACACCTTCTCAGGTATAGGGTAAATGTATCATAATAATAACAATCCTTGCATTTATATTATCTGCTACGGCGAATGTATCTTTGCTGCTGCTTGCCTCAAGCAGAGATGGTGACAATACCATATGGTTAAGGTATTTGGTGTTCTGCAAAGTTCGTTTCCGAATCAAACGTTTGTGAAAAATAATAAATAATAACACACAACCATCTCGGGCCATGGCTCAATTTCCCAGCATTATGGAATTTTGTTGAAAATCATTGACGTTTTCAAGCTTCAAACCGAAAAACTTAAAAAGAAAATTATCTTTAGTCTCTGTTAAAACTGCAACGTGATTTGTACAATCATCTGTCTTACACATATGGGCAGAGCAATAAATAGGAGCAATATTTATTCACAACTATGCCATTTGTAAACTGAAATTTGATAATGGGTTGAAGAAATGTAGGATTATATATATATCATTTTTTGTTGATGGGAATGCCTTTTGACATTATTGAGCATATCTTACAGTTTGAGAACCTTCATTGAAGCTAAAAGATTTTTTTTATTCCTCTTTCTGAATTGTTACAGTGCGAGGTGCTGTTCATTTTATTTTATTTTGGTTTATTTAGCTTTATATCTGTGCTGAAAACAGTGGCTGCCAATGAGGCAGGGCTTCTGATTGGCACGATCTCTCTCAACGTAATACAAATTCAAGGTCAAACAATCAGCCCACATTTTCAATGATTTTTAAAAGATGAAAGGTCTAGATTTTGCAACCCCCAAAATTCCTAAACACCAAGAAATCTGCAAATATTAACAAATGGAGCTGCCAGAAACTGGAATTTGCATGGCACTGAGGCAGGTTTCCAATTGACCAGATGCGGTGTGTTGCTTTCTGAAAGGCACGGTTTAAGAGAAAGAAAATCCAATTTTTCCTCATTCCTTCGACCTTAACTTGGGCAACAAGTTATGGAGCATTCCCCTCATTCTGCCTGTAACCGCAGCTTGTAAGGCTGGGCACTCACTGGCTGTCTGCACAAGGGAGGAACCCGAGTATACTCCTTCTCCAATCAGTCATCGGCCAGTGCAGTTTTCTACTTGCCTAAAGTAAACAGGATCTGCCAGAATCTGCAGAAACAAATCGTGGACTTTAGCAGCGATGGGCAGTAAGAAAGGGCGATCCCCAGGTCGAACGTTTAAGCACAATCGAGATATGAGTTGTCAGAGTGTGGAGAATCTCTCGTCCAACGCACACATGGCACAAGAGTCAGGTAAGGGAACAGGGTTCAAACCCAAGAGAGTTGTGTGAATTCTTCAGAATTTGGATTGTGCAACAAGTAATTCACACAATAATCTCACTTGCAAACAGGGGTTGGAAAGTATTGGGAACGTTTACTGTATATTAATAATTACTGTGTAATTAGGTGTCAGTCAGCCAGCCTCAGTCGGCAGCACTCTCACCTTTGAGTCAAAAGGCTCAATGACCAGTACCGTCTTCCTCCACCTCCGCCATATTGCCCGCCTCCGGCTGTACCTTACCCCAGATGCAGCCGAAACACTTATCTATGTTTTCAGGTCTCGGCTGAAGACCTTTCTTTTCAACCGAGCCTTTGGTCACCTTCCTCCCTCTCCCCCTGGCTCGGCCCTGGGATCTGTTACTGTGAAGCGCTCTGAGACGCCGTCCGGCGTAGAGGGCACTATAGAAATCCAAGTTGTTGTTGTTGTTGATTGTTGTTGTCACCTCCCGACTTTTTAAATCTCCTCTTCGCTGGCCTCCCCAGTTCTACATGCCCCGCTTTCAGATATTACACCCCAAACATCCGGAACACTCTTCCTCTATCCCTCTGCCTTGTGTCTTCCTTTCCCATCTTCACGTCGTGCCTGAAGACCTTCGTCTTTGACCAGATGACCAAATGCAAAAGGCACTACGGCAAATGCAAGGATTATTATTACCAATAATTAATTGTTTTAGGGCCAAATTCTCTTGACAATGAGATAACACCCACAATGATCCTTGGTTCCACAGTAGGATTAAAATATTTTTCTTGTAATTCACAGCAGAAATTGACCAGGAGCATAAAGTAATAGAGTCGGCACAAAGTTGTCCTAATCTCCAAACCTCCAAAGAGCGACCCCCTGAAAGTGACAGCAGTTCTCGATGCATGATCTTTACATATTTCAAAGGGGACATCAACAGTATGGTGGACGAACACTTCTCAAGAGCTTTGAATCGACAGACTGATTCCAGAGATGATTGTTCAAAAAGTAAAAATGAGAGTGTGGACTCGAAAAAAGGTAGGTGTCTGATCTGCCTCTCCCAAATGTATCCGGTTTCCCAAATGCAAGCGCTCCGGGATGCCAGCCTACGTGAAGGGCGCATTATAAATGCAAGTTGTTGTTGGTTTGTCCCATCTTCTTGAAAGGCCACAACCAGAGCTGATTTTCAAATATGGAATCCTTTTAGGCAAAATCTTAATTATTAGTGGGCATCAGTTGGATCTTAGCCAATCGATACTCAAAAACATTAAATCAGTTATTTTAGTCCTTCCAGTCTCCTATCATCTGGTGTCCATTAACCTTTAAATAATTTAAAAATGCCAGTAAGAGGCATTGAATTTTTAAAAATTATTAATGCACTAAGTTTAAACAGTTATAGAGCTTGACAGCTGATTTAATTATTAAATAAACAGAAAAGGGAACGCTGTAGATTTCATATCATAGAATCATAGAATTATACAGCACAGAAGGAGGCCATTTGGCCCATCCTGTCTATGCAAATAACTCTGACATTTTCTTCCTTGTAACACCCTGTAAATAGATTTATTGTCATTCAGATTTACGCTAAGGACAAATTCCTGTGGCAATGTTAACGAGAGGTAGTAGGCATAATATTAATGCAGATTCACGAACACACACAAGCCCAGATCCCAAGGCTATGGGGAGAGAGTGGGATAGGAGTGGGATTAATTTCTTCTTCAAAGAGCCAACACAGGCACGATGTGCCGAAGGGCTTCCTTCTCTGATTCTATTTATTCTTTTTTCATTGTTAGTGAATGCTTGCTCAACTTCAGGCTAAACTGATGAATTGTTTCCTCTGTTGGACATTCAGGATCTAGAGTGGAATAGGAGCAGTGTCAATCAGTACTTTGTGGAGACGAGTATATGAGGAGTCCTAAATTCTACATTAACTGGGTCTAACAATTAAGAGCCACATGCTGCATTCACCTCTGCTGATTTGAGCTTGGATCAAGCACAAGATAGCCTGCACCAGCAACAGTGCAGTATCACGGGGTTTATTGTAAAGTGTACAGTAACTACAGCAAGAGTAATGCCCTTTACTGGGTCAGAGATTTCCACACTGGTTCTTTTCACTCTTCAGCCCTGTACACGTTCATTTATTTTGTTCTTACAAAACGTCCTCAAACATGTTAAAAGTAGATGTTAATCAGCACGGGAACATTCAATGCCTCTACAGGTATTTCAAGCCACATGCTGCCTTCACCTCTGCTGAGGTGTTGTGCTTACTGTTATTTTCACTGACGTACATTTACATGTTTTGCTGGGTTTATAGATTTGCTGCTGTACAGTTTGGAGTATAAAGGGAGTCTCAGAGAGCACGAAGCATGCTGAAGTCATGCTGCTGGCCCATCCCACTTCAAGTATGGGCCCATCAGTGCTTTATGGAGTTGTAAAACAATGTATTTTCATTGTCAGCTGATCTCAAAATGCTATTACCATAAACATACACAGACCTGCTATCCCATGAAACTGTTCATCGTACAATAAGAGAGCTTTATGGTGATTTACCTACCTACATAAAACAGCATAATTTTTGATACTATATCAAGTAAAAGACACAAATGCTTTTTTAAAAAGCTCACCTTTCCACCTTGTGGGAAGATGCACTTGAATGGCCCTCATTATCTTAACTGCTGTTCCACTACATCTTTCCATGCAGGGCTACCAACTTACATGTTATTAAATGAGAAACAAAATCACAGCAATTTGCACATATTATTCTCTATGCTCACCAATACTAATGATACCCTTCTCATGAAATGAAGATGTGAAGAACAGGCAACTCATAAAATTTGAATGCCATGTCAAAGGTTTCTGACATGTGTCTCTGGAACCGATACAAATACCCTTTGAATTTATGAGTTCTGACAGGAAGATAGTCTTTAATGGTATCAAAATGATTTAATTGTTTAATAATAATAATAATCTTTGCATTTGATATAGTGCCTTATCACGTCGTTGAGACGTCTCAAAGCAATTCACAGAATATACTGTAAAGTGAATTGACCGTAAAATTTAAGTGTCAAGTGAGTGGATATGATGTCTGCACTGAAGTAGCGACAGTTATATATTGTTAAACAATAGCAGTTACATATACTATAGCAACTGATTTCATACAACTCTGCTACATAGGTTTATACAGCATAGGTTTGCTGATTTTGCATGTCAATTGATAAAAATCAGCAGGTTTTCCAATTTTCTCCAAATTGAGGAGGAAAAAAAAGACTATTGTTGAAAAGGAATTTTGTGTCATTTGATAGCACTCTCTCCTCTGAGTCAGAAAGTTGTAGGTTCAAGACAGCGAGGCTTTGAACTCATATATGATCTCCCCCCACCACCACCCTGCGGGTCAAAATCCCTGACTGTCCAGTGCCTTGGGACAACGTCCTCCTGACTTAAAAAGCGCCATACAAATGTGATTTTGTATTGTGTATAGTCCACTCTAAAGCAGGGGTCTCCAACTGCTCAGTTGTCATTAAGTGGCGCTGTCGCACATGATCAAAAAGATAAGGGGAAGGAGTGAGTGAACTGTGTCGCTATTGAGTCAAGTTGAAAATGAAGCCAGATGCACAAAGTATTTTATGCGTCTGGAAATAAAACTATAAACATTAATGCTAAAACTGTTTTAAATATCGCTCGTGCCTCTTGTTTTTATTGAGCATGAACGAGACGCCACCTAGCGACGTTCAACTGGTCTAAGTAAGTCACTGCAGTGTTGGGAGTGTACTGTATTGTGGCATTCTTCATATGGGAAGTTAAACTGAGATCCCATCTACCTGTTTACGAGGATGGTAAAGATTGCATGGGCATGATTCAAAAAAGAGAAGGCAGTTCCTGGTGTTCTGGCCAACAAAAACCTCAAGTAAAATTGGTCGTTCTTTTTCTTGGCACAAATTGGCTGCTGCCTTCATCCACATAATACACTCCACTTTACAGTAAACTTGTTAAGTGCTTTTAGACATCCTCCTCATGCCAAAGGGGCTATATCAAATACAAAGATTATTATTTTGTTAATGTTTATGTAAATGTTCACCTGTTAAAGCTTCCATATTTCAGTGGCGTGTCTCATCCGCTTAATAAATGTTTTTTTTAATGTTTCTGCAGTAGATAATTGGTATATAAATCAAAAAGGATACATTTGTCTTGAATGCTAGTGGACTTCCTCAGTTAGTTTACCAATTCTTGCTTCTGTATTTTTTAGTTAAAATGTTGTTAAAATATGGGTTATGTTTATTTTTTGTTAGCAGATTATTGTTACTTTGTAGTAGGATAAAAAGATTTACTGAATATTATAGCGCAAAATGTATATGTTGATACATTTGTTAATTTTGTTAATTTTCTTTGTTAATTTTCTTTTAAAGAAGGACGTTTTTCCACAAACCATTGGAATCCCAGTCCGACCTACTGGGCTAACCCATACCAAGCACCCCTTCCTTCTACTGTAACAAGATCTCCTGCGAATCTACCTGGTCTTTCAAATCAATATACGTCAGTTTCTTTACATAATCCCCACCCCCATCCTCCAGATATGTGGCATTTCCCTGCAATGAGTAACCAGAGTACATTGGGAACTGTCTATCGTCAACCGATATCTGATCTGCACCGAGTGATGTCACCTGCTATGGGTGAAAGGCAGTACAGTCCTCTTCTGGTACCATTGCAATGTGAAAACGCACCCGTTGGACCCAACCAAGGACGAATCATAGCAAAACCAGACCTTTCACCAACCTGGTCAGGCAGACAAGCTGGACTCCCGGAAATGAGACAAAATATGAACCCTGATACAGGTATGAATGTTGATATATAGATGAAAAAACTAAATAAAGCATAGCACTGTAAATGTGAATCTCCTTCCCTCTCCCCCCACATGTTTCTTGTGTTTATTCTGAAATACCCACAGTGAATTTTAATTATCGTTTGCGGGGAACATCCAGAAATATAACTTTGGGTGAATTTCGTGCAATCGCAAACGATTAGCAAAATGTAAAACAAAAATTTAAGGTGGTTATTCCTACTTTTTTATTTGGATGAAAGTAATACTATTTGATGATGACTTTGTGCTTCTCAATTAAGTGTTCAATGGCGCTCAGTAGCTTAGTTTTGCATCACATTCGCAATTAAAGGCTTGGCACATTTAGCTTAATATAAGTGCAAGTTGTTGTTGTTAAGACGGAGTGAAACTTCAGGCTTGTAATTTCTTAAAACTTTTTTGCGATTAAGTATCTTATCTAACCTGACATTTCTTCTTATGCAGGTTTTCAGCATCAGGAGAAAAGGAAGGACATGTACTGGTATTAGATAAACCTTTTTTGCTTTAGAACCTTTTTGGCTGCAGCAGTGACACCTACTGCTCACCCTAATCCATCATTTTCTGAGTGTTTTTTTCCCCCACAAAGAAACGTTTTTTGCTCACATTTTGCCCAAGTGGTGACATATATTGAGTAATTAATGCTGGATACAGTTTATCAGTTTTGCTTTGAAATCCTTTCGAAGGTCTTACATAGAAATGTTTAATGTGTCTTTTCAAAAAAAGGTACGAAATGGATAACTCAGGATTATTTATAAAAGAGATGAACATATTGAAAAATCGTGTTGTGAAGGTAAAGTGGGAATGCAAACATTACTGAAATAAATAGAATATTTATTTTATGGCTTTTAGATAACAACTGCTTAAATCTTCCAAATTTCATTTATTATCCTTTGAGGACGGGATATGGGCCTGAGCTGGTTCCAAGGTGACATGTTTAGCAAATGAATATTGGAATTGAGTCCATACTCTACGACAGTCTTGGTAGGCCTGTTGCTGAGTCAGGTGCGTCGATAGTACTCCAAGGCACTGATGATGACAGATCTGTCTGTTTTGCTCACCATTGGACTTAACAAAGTAGCCAAATTACTGGGCTCCTGTTAACCCCGCAAGCTAAAGGCTAATGAATAAGATGGTCCCAGCTGGACAAGCAGCCAGGAAACTTGCCAGACCGATAATCGGAATGGAAAGCTATGTGGCTTTAGCTGGTTGTGTCACATACCCAGCTGACTCCCCAAAAATATTGCCAGTTACAAATTTATTTTAAAGGCTGTAAAGTGAATTAAATTGTGTATTCTGTGGGCAAAACAAAATGACAGAAGTTGGAGATTTGATATCAGTAACAAGGTGTTTTATTATAGCTAGTGTGTCAGCCTGCTCTCTCACCTCGGAATAGAAGGTTGTGGGTTCAAGCCCCACATCTGGATTTAGAATCACATGGTCTAGGCTGACCCTCCAGTGCAGTGCTGCATTGTTGGAGGTGCCATCCTTCAGATGAGATGTTAAACTGAGGTGCCGTCTGCCTGTTCAGCTAGATGTTAAAGATCCCATGACACTATTCGAAAAGAGAAGGGACTTTCTCCTGGAGTCCTGGCCAACAAATTCCCCTAAATAAAATTGGTCACTTACTTCATGGTTTTTTGTGGGAAATTGTTGTGCGCAAACTGGCTGTCACATTTCACCTACAACTACAATCAATCTACTTTGCAGTATATCCTGTGAAAAGCTTTGAGAGGTCTCGATGATGTGATAAGATGCTATATCAAATGCAAGGATTTTTTTTACTATTATTGTTGGTCATTATTATTATTAATCATTAGTGGTAGCTTAATAACTAAAGACATTTTAAAGGTTAGAGCTAAACAGATGAATCCCTTAAAAAAATTGAAATGGGCAGCATGCTTTAATTGGCAGAAGACGTGTTAACATTGCAGCTAAAATTGTCGTCTGCCTAACAGCTTGGCACAGTTGGCAGCCTCTTGCCGTTGAGTCAGAAGCTTGTGGGTTCAACCCCCATGCTGGTACTCTGAAGACGCAATGTCTAGGCAGGCCCTCCATTGAGGAAAGTGCTGTATTGTCAAAAGTATCAGATGCAGATGAGATATTAAACTGAAGGACTATCTACCTGTGCAAGTGGACCTTGAAAATCCTTGACACTATATATAAAAACAGGAGCAATGTTCTCCTGGTGTCCTGACCAAATATTGGCAGCCACATTTTCTTGCAGAAACAGACACTACACTTGTGCTTTTTTTTATTTCAATGAGGTAAGGCATTATAAAAATACAAGTAAATAACAATCATAATAATAATCTTTTCATTTGCGCCTTTCACGTCAGAAGGATGGCTCAAGGAGCTTCACACCAGTCTAGTATGATGCCTGTGTATTTTGTAGGCAAATGCACTTACTAATTTGTGCACAGCATTGTCCCACAAACAGCCCTGAATTAAATGACCATTCTTATCTGTGAAACTGCAAATGGTTTAAGGAAGACAGTCAATGGTTTCAAGTTACCAAACTGCTAGCAGGCAAAAACAAACAAAAGATTAAAATAAAACGTTTGAAACTTTACCCATGGTGACCCTAGTTGCCTTCCTGTCCTTCTATTTTCTCCCTCAATATATATTCTGGATACTTGTTCATTGAGAACAATTATAAAGAGACAAAATGCAGACGGGAAATTATTTTTTAAAAAATATAAACCGGACCAGAACCTTTAGCTTCAAAGTACTGCACTTGAAGAATAAAGATTCTTTTTCATAGAAAATAGATTTTAAGTCACAGCTTGTGGTGACTTAATTTTAGCAAACCCATATTTAAGACTAATTGCTTGCCTTGCATGTAGTTATTTAATAAGCTCTGGTTTTATTTCATAGTTGGTATTCATTCTTCTTCTTGAAAGCACCTGCCTTTAAATGTGGGAAAGAAATCGGACTCAATTGTATACTGTTAGGAAAACTTTTTCTAAGTTTTTCTAAAAACAATCTGCGAACAAAGTGCCTTAATAAAAGCTCACTCAAATTATAATTCAGTAACTGGCATTCAAATATAATACAGGGTTAATGCAGGAAATCTAATTTTTTTTCAGTTTTTGTGACTGTCTGAATATTGATGTGTAATGAAGGATTTGCCCTTTAAGAATGTGTACAGAAATATCTGTCAATTTTGTAATCACTGTGTTTAACAGCGGGATATGCAGTATATCATTGGGTATTTGATGTGCATTGTATATTGTGAAACTGTCATATATGTTCCTTTATCTGCCTTCTCCTTTCATATCTGTAAATTGTGATTTTATTATTCCTGTTATAAAATATTTACATTTTATTTTGATGATCATAGCACTTTGTTGTTCAAGATTATATCTGCTTGAAATTGCAAAGCAGATAATTTATATGGTTGTGGTACAGTGATAATATATTGATTATTGCCTTGTAGAATTACAAGTACATTTATTTAAAAGATAGCAAATTTGTGTGATGATGAGAGCCTGTCAGATGTCAAGTGTCCTCATAGTTCCAATCATTTGAAATGTCTCTTAATAAGTGAGGACAGATTTCTAAATGATTATTGAATTGCATGTAATATTTTGTCACTTTGATCCTGAAATCTTTAGACAGTCAGAGTTTACACAGTGTCACTTATCTCCAGACCAGCGTACCGAATTAGACACTGACTTTTTTTTAAAAAAAATCCAGATCCTCTGCAATTTTCAAGTCCTATTACATTATTAGCATGCCATTTCTCAGTTTATCTTCTCAACTTTAATGTCAAAGCAATTAAATTGCAAAAAGTAGAGGTTTTCGATGAGAAGTTTTGAAAGTAGCTTTGCATTCATTTAAGAGCTTTTTGTTTAGCTCCTGTTTTGTTTAGCACCGAGTCAATCTATACACATTTTGAAGTGTTTGAATGATTAGAAAAATAAATAATTTGTCATATCAAATAATACTAAACCAAAATTATTTGAATTCTGCTGCTGTAGCTTTACGTGAATGACCTAGTCCACCATGTTGAGGGACATCTATTCTCTTATGCCCTGTGTTAGCTGCCAGATTGTCTGTTTGTGCTTTCTTTTCACCTTTGCCAGGTGCAAATCCCACTCACAAATCCCACTCACAGCAAATTAATACAGCTGTGGGAAAACCTGGGCTACTGTGTCTCTCAAGGTCACAGAACAATTTTGGGAAAATGTAATAACTCTTACATCTTCTTTTGTAAAAAACAATATTGCACATTTGCACTATTAAAATGATAGTGTTAAAAATTGGTAAGATAATTGTGGAATGGTGTAATGCTTGGGGATATATTATATTATTATTATATGGGCTAAATTTTCAGCTCATGTTCCTGAACCTAATTAAATACATGTGCAGATTCTGAGAGAAGTAGCCCCGGAACTAATATCAAAATATTGGGCAAAGTAGCAAACAACAAAATATTATGAAGGAAATGTATGTTAGTGTTTAACAGCTCAGAGTGAAATAAAAAGTTAATCAACTTTAGAAAGTGTGTTTTATGGGAGTTTGTATAAAACAATGAGTTAAAGAATCGTTAAAGAAAGTTGGGATCAGTGGGGAAACACTTGGGAACATAATTTGATGGGAGGTTTTGTGCACAAAGCTTATTGGAAATAGATAACTCCTTATCCATGATGGAGAAAGCCCACGGTTTTATTCTGTATTTCCCCTCATTCCTCTCTCTTGGAGTAAGACAGGTCCCCATTAATTTCTATGCCGCCAGTCTCGGAGTCTGCTAGATCATCTTCAATCGTTTCTGCCAACTATTACATGATCCGAGCACCAGAGACAGCTTTTCCTCTCTCCCTTCTTTTTTTAAGAAGGAATGTATCAGACATCTGGCTGACCCCAAAAAAGAGGATCAGATCCTTTTGCAATATACTCTTTTATGCTTCCATCACTCACACCACAGGCAACAACTGCTCAGACACTTGCTCCTGCAACAGATGGAATATTTGGCCTATTATTTATGTCTGAAAAAATAACCTACCATACTCTTTCAGATCTAATTAATTGAGTCTGGATTTTTAGCAGCTCCAACATATGTGGGTTTTTTTTTGTTCAGAAATCCAACCTTTATACCACTTAGGGATAAGGAGAGTATTTCTTCATTTTCATTCTTACGAATAAGCACATGTTAGCACCTTATTTCCCTTTTCCTTTTGGGTATGACTGGAAAGTGGAATAATTTTCTTTAATCCATTCAAAGGTCTTCCACTCAACCTTTGCCTTGAGGAAGTTTCGGATGAATGCAATTTTATCCATCACCAAGTGCCACATTGCAACAAATCATAAATATGCAATGTCCACAAATGTGAACAAATGTCACTGAGTTGAACTACTACAATATAACTATTATTTTTTAATCAAACAACATATCTGTTATTTTTTAAACATTAAGAAACATAAGTGATATAGAGCATTTGAGGGCCAATAAATAATGCGTCTTCATTTATTTGAAGAATTGTTGGACTTGCTTCGCTTTGCAGCAGCTGATTTCTATAAATGCTTCCTGCTGCCCCATAGACTAAAGCGATAATTAGTAATTCTGTGGCAGCTAAATGATCCCCGGGCCTCTTTATGGAAGATATCTCATCACAAAAACATTTAACAGAGAAGCTTTATCACTCTTTGAACGGTTCCATTCCTCATTTGAAACTGTAAAGGAGAAATCCCACCCGTCCCCCACCCCCATTTCAAATATGGTAAATTTGATGTTTACTCATCTCTGCCAGATCTTCTAAACTACATGCAGTGGTTTTGTACCAGAATGCTACTTGCATCATTAAATGTTTACAGTGCCAGAGGACTGCCATTGCATCTCCTTCACACAATACATTTTAGAAGCAAAACTGTGGTCAGCTTACAACTGTGCTGTACGTATATAATTTTGCCATGAAATTTTTCACATGACAAAAACATCATTATATCTGTTATGAACCAAAATTCCCTGAAAAGTTGTATAATCCAATTACCAAGTAGAAACTGGTTACAATTATGTTATTCTAGCTTTCCTTGTTTTGGATATGATCTACTACATTATTTGCTCTAAAGGTGAGGCTAATCTCTTCTGAAATGCGATTTGCATTGAACCAATGACCTGTAAGAATTGGATCCTGGATTGTGTTAGCACAAATATTTAAACATAATAAAGATTGATAAAACATGCAAATAATGTGCTCCATATTTTTGATGATGCCTGCTGCCAAAGGTTGTAACTATACACCTTGGGACGTCCTCCCGTCGTGAAAGGCACTATATACGGTAAATATAAATCTCGTTTGTATTGTAAATATGAATTAAATTCAAAAGTCAGGAAACCAGGGATTTAGATGAGATGGTTTTATGTTAA